TTGCCGGCTGGGCTTAAACCACGACATAGATGCTCGTAATGTCCGTGCCAAAGAAACTGCTACTACGTTTAGACAGAGGAGAGAGCCCTTAACCACCACTTTCTCAGTTTTCAGGAGTCCCATAGGCACCCTCATTCTGCAAGTGATATCCCCTAAAGGTTAGCAGGCTTGCTGATTGGTAGAGTTCAAACAGACCAATTGTTTTCTCTAGTCCACCTGTATGTGTAGGCAGTCAAGAGTTACCTGGGTGAAAAATCAAAACTTCATTACCGCCTGCAGATTGTAAAACCCAACTTACTGTGCTACCCTAGCTCAGCTGAACAAATGCAGAGTTGGCTTTCATCAGTGTAGCAATTGACATAGCTGGATCAATGACACAGAGACTCTGATGATTCATGGTCTGACACACAAACAACATTATGTCTAGTTAAAGACATTGGACACCAGACAGATTTATATACATCTTGCCTAACTCTGATCCGTCCAAGCAACTTAGATGGAAACCAAATCTAAGAGTCAAAACTGGCAAAGGAGGTCACTCCAAATTCCAGAGCTGCCTTTCTGTGACCCTCCCACTCACAAGTCTTTGCTACAACTATTGCTGTCAGTGGATGGGCTTCCAACAAGTTGCATGCACTCATGAGACGGATGAACTTTCCAGTATTAAAGCAATTAGTGTTCCTCTGGATGCTTATTAGTACAAATTACCAACTTGCCTGAACCATCACAAAGCAAAACTGGTCCAAAGCCAGAGAACAGGTTGACACCCTTCTACTTGTTCATACTGATTTGCTGCTAGTCAGCAAATGAGGTTTGTGATGTTTCGCTACAGAGAAATACTTGTTCTTCTGTCTCAATAGAGGAACCCCCGATATAGAAGACTGTCTAGGAACTAAAGCACTCTCTGTTTATGTGTAATACATGTTAAAATTCACCTGTTAAAATCCGATGCAATGGCAAAGTGACGTAAGTTAAGTGTGCATAGAGTAGAAAGTTTTCATCTGTTCTGTTCAGCTTCAGCCATGACCCCACCAGAGAGCGTCCTGTTCCAGATAAGGACCGCGACCTCAGATTTGTCGCATTGTGCAGATCTGTAAAGGCAAAAGACAGCAAGTTCAAGGTGACTGTTGTACTTTCTGTGTTTCACTGAACATTCCTGAAAGTCAAGAAAGTAAAAAAGGAAAGCCTGCTATGCTTTTCATTGTCTAGAGGTAAAGTCACATGCAGGATGCTATTATTACTATTTTTTTTAATCAGTCAGGTCTTGCCTAGCACCGAATTCAGTATTTACAATTTAAGCTAATGAATGGTATCAGCAGCTGGCAGCATTTTTAACTAGCCAGGAGAAGGAATGAAGCCTTTGCTACCACACTGCACAAGCAGAATCCTAACCCATACACAAAATAATAGAATACCCCTAAAATTAGGAAGTTATTCATGTAGAAATTCACAAGTGTTAACAGAAGAAAAATTGTTACTTATGAAGAAAATTGGCATCTATCAGACAGGGGAGAGTCAGCATTAATATGCCCCCAGCCAAACCTGGTACCCTTCAGCAGTGCCATTCTTCTCATAATTAGTTTAGAGGTCCACAAATAACTTTTAAACAAAAGGATACCAAGTCCACTGTAAGCTACAGACAGTTTTTATAGCTGCAGGTCTCTCCCACAGCCAGGAATGCATATGCTGCATTTTTTGAGTGTTTCTAAACTTTCCCTCCATTCCCATGAAAAACTGAGCCCTGTCCCACAATGCTAAAAGCAGATGTTGGTGTGAACATAACAATTCTGGACCACAGTGATCCAAGCTCTGGGATTCATTTGTTTAAAAGTAAGTCCTGATCCAAACAAAGAGGTCCTAGCAAAGGAAGAATACGTAACGGCAGCTACTCTAGCAAGATGCATAACAGTGTGGGAGGAAGAAGGCTATTCCCTCTCCCCACACATTACCACTATGCCAAGAGCACTGTGGTCATCAGGTCAGAAGAACCTGATTCTGGTAGCTAGGATAAGTATAATTCTCCTGCTGTTTCACGCTTGCACACAGCAAAAGCAAGCAAAGAGGGTTCTCATAAGCTGTTCCTGCCACAACAGGTCTGTCTGCACTGGGGGTAGCACAGGTCACACCAAGGACACCGCTTATTTTTCATCTTTCAGGAAATTCATCATTGGGATCCGTGCCCTCTCCAGACAAGTCTGTTTAGCTGATACTACTTCTCTCACCTCCGCCATCATCATCTCTGAAGAACTCCTCACTGTCATTTGCCGAGTGGGATTTTTTCATCTCAGCAATTCGATTTCGTGGCACTTTTCTCTTGAGGGATGGGGAGAAAAAGGATGGGCGATTGTTGCGTTCTGGGGTTGGTGGTGTGCTGAAAGATGTGACCTGAAAGGCAAATAAAAGAAATGCTAGAGGAAGTTCTGTTTGAAAAGTTCCAATGCTTCTACTAAGAAACAATCGGTCTCAAATATGTGCCAAAAGGCAGTCATATGTGTAAAAATAAGAATCATGACTGGTGTCTAGTTGTAAGGTTTATCAGTGGCCAGACAATGTCAACTGAAGAGTCATCTCAGCTTCAAGATGCTCAGCAAGATGAAAATGTTTCGATGGATCATCAACCTCCGCTGCTACAAAGTCTCTCCTGAGCTGACCATTTTTAACCAGAATTTATAGTCATGAAAGAAGAAAATTAATAATTTAGGCACCAATAATGTCAATTTTATTTTTGCATGTTGAAATTCAAGAGGCTAAAGTATTGCACACACTAAAATTGCGCATCTTCATTTCTTTGGCAAGCACAAGGTAGTAGTTTTCCTGCTTAGAAGGATGCCACATAGGATCACTGTGAAAGGTCACAGTGTCTCTGTGGAGCAGGGTCACAAGGCAATTCCTTAGTGCAAGATCCTGACGCAAAAGTGAAGTCAATGTTCCATTACATGTATATCGTATTTCAGTACAGGATGGGAAAAACAAGTTGAGATGCTCCTGATGATTTGGTCAGTTCAAGTGATGGCTAACACAAGGATATAATTGTCTGTGGTAAAACACAGGTTACGGATGAAACTATAAAGACATCCTTCTTTCAGAGCAGTAGTTGCTCTTGAGTAAACCACAATTATAGGTAATTATACTTATTTCAGAAAGAATTTAAATGTAGTGCTTATATACTGGTTTTGCTAGCAATATTTTAGTTTCATTTCAAATGAAAAAAATAAATAGGGATATCTACTTTGCTAAGGGAGCTGAGTAATTTCTATCTCATCTTTCTTTCTTCACAGTTAATTTCACAATCCCATAGCTCTCCCTGAGGTGACACCGGATACTGCTCATCTCTGTCCATATAAATAAAGAGGGAGATGACATGTGAGTGAGGATGACAGGCAAACACACTGGTGCTGCACTGAAGAAACACTCTCTGTTGCTCCTCTATCATTACTGTTAAAAAAAATTAGAAGCATTCTACCACCCAACTAACCCTCTTTTAAGTGCAGAGTTCTTTAATTCTGTAGCCATTTCATATCACACCTGGAGGGAAAACCAGAAATGTACAAATTACCATTAAAACCATTAGCCAAAAGCAGCAATCATACATTATCAAATCTATTTTAACATTTTCCAGTTGACACTGGAATTCTTGGAGCCAAAAGTTCAGGAATTCCCTCCAGGCCTGATTTCTCCTGGTTGTATCTCTATAGTAGAGAGCAAGCACATGCAGTTAACAAGCTCTGTGCTGGCAGCTCATTTTGCCTTTTAGGAAGCCAGAAACAAAAATCATACAGCTTGTACAGAGACATTCAGAAGCAGTCATGCAGACCTTTAAACTACTCAACTTAGCTATCACACACAGGAAACTATACTAGAATCTATCAGGAACTACCCAGCCCAGGTCAGGACATATCTGTGTAGGCATTTTGAAGACATGCTGCCTAATCCCCATTAATGAATTAAAATGTTAATGGAAAACAATACTCAGTACTGAATAAGGGTGAAATCAGCATCTGTGGACTGATTCTATCGCTATTTTACTCCAGTTGCATTAAAATTAAGCATATGCAAAAATATGGTACTGCATCTAAATCTGTACTCTTTGCTTTAATCTTACACAGGCTTCACATTGTCAGCATTCATCAGTGACAAAATCTAACAGTACCATCTCCTTAAGGGTTAGAAAACCACCTATGTAATATACAAATTCTGTATTTCTAGGTAAATCCCATCTTGTACAGAAATGGAATCTATTAATTTTCATAGAAAACAGGCAGAATCATCATTTTCCCTGGCATCAACACTGCCGTTGTTTCAACAAAACACTCCTCCAGAAGTATGAATCATCCAGTCATCTCTGTATTCAGCATGTGCTCAAGGGAAGATGTGCTAAAAAGTCATATGCATATACTGAGTGTGTTCAAAATACATACAGGCAAACCCAAGTTCAGAACCCTGATGTAAGTTAATCCCAGCTTCAGTCAGTCTACCGGTTTTGGAACAAAACATGTTCATGCTTAATCTGAAGTCAGTATTTCCATCTGCTACTTACTCTCTCATGCACTGGGGACTCTGGATTTGAATCTTCTTCTGTCCCATACGGTGAAGTGTCACCAGTAGAAACTCTACTCACTGCCATCTCTGCATGTCCTTTCCCTTGTGGCCCTTTCATTCGGACAAACTCCATGTTGTTATATTTATAAAAGCCAAAAGACATTCTTTGAGCCATCTTAGCTGCAACACTCACCTACAGTGCATCAAGACAGAGGAGGAAAAACATGTAACATTACCTCCATGCTTCAAGAAAAAAAAAAAAAAAAGGTTATTGAAGTTATCTAACAATAAGTCAAAAACATAGTGAAAGTCAAAAACACAATGGATAATGATTGTTATCTGGATTCTTGAAAAGCGTATTAAGCCACAATCTGCAGTGATGTCCAAAGGGGAAGCAATTTTACAGACACAAAAACAGAGGCTCAGAGAAGAATTAACTCCTTCAGCTATCCAAAAGACAGTTACCCAATGGCATGCTGAGATAAAACAGAAGGTTTTTATCCAGACCCACACAATGTGCCACACCAAGCACAAGCAGGCACATGCACAGCCTGTGCTTGGACACTCGTTTAAGTCCAAAAAGCAACAGACACATACACAGGATGCTTCAAACTAGCAAAGTGCACTGCACAATTCTGGCACTACGTGGTGGCAAGTCAATTCAGACATTTGTGTGACTGCACTGCCAAGGCCAAAGCTTAAAGAACCAGCCTCCATGCACAACTAACCTGCATTGCACTGCTCACCGCAAAACCCTGACAGCTTTTGAACCCTCTCAATAGACAGAAGGGCTCAATTTCCAGTTAACACAACTGAACTGAAAACTGAACTGAGAACTGAAAAAAGGAACAGATCAATATGAAAACAGAAAAGGTTTTGCCAAGTGAAAAAAGTAGGACTTATCCATAAGCTTAAGTGGCTCATCGTAACTTTCAGCAATTTATAGCCTGAAAGGGCCAAGATGCTCATTATGAAACACAACTCATATTGCACTAAGAATTATAGAATCGTTTAGGTTGGAGAAGCCTTTAAGATCATCAAGTCCAACTGTTAACCCAGCACTGCAAAGTCTGCCACTAAAACATGTCCTTAAGGGCCACATCTACATGTCTTTTAAACACCTCAAGGAATGTTGACTCCACCACTTCCTTGGGCAGCCTGTTCCAATGCTTGACAACCCTTGCGGTGAAGAAACTTTTCATAATACTCAATCTAAACAACCCCTGATACAAACAAAATCAAGTAACCTTCAAAAGCAGAGATTGCTTCTGTTCTGTCAAAAGAATGGTCAAATTTAAATTTTTGCCTTTTGCCATAATTGAGTATTTGGAGTGCTAACAATTTTATTTCATCTAACAAAACAATGTAAAGTAGCTGTGTGGTCAAACAGGACATTCCTAGGTTAATAGGTGACTTCACCACATCAAATCCTGTCTTTCTACCACAGGGCTTTCTTCTTACATTGTCTTTATTGATTATGCATTCTCATGTATTTTAATAACCCACCTACAGGTTGTACGAGGCCATAAGACAATGATGGGACAGAGAAACAATTCCAGTTTTGTGTTCTCTCAAAAAACTTCTAAAAGAGTGTAACTACTCACATTTAAAACAGGGAGAAAGGAAATTATTCAGGACCTGTCCTGACAAGGGTAAGAACAAATGGAAACAAAATGAAGCTTACAGTCACAGTGGATATTGTGCAGATATTTTTGCTTGTTTGTTTCAAACCTCTCAGGACTGTCTCCATAACAAACAAAGAAGTTTACTGGCTTTTGCACTCTCTTGACCTCAGCACTAAAATACCAAATTTGAAGCTAAAAGTGCTGGCACTTCATGTTTCTGTAGGAAAACAAAGAAAGCTTCTTTATGTGGCAGTGAAACTACAGTGGTCTTCTGAAAATAGCTGTTAAGTTCAAAACACACTAAAGAAAAACAAATTTTACATAAACTCTGATTAGCTACCTTGCTATAAGGTCTCTGTGCAAAATGCACCTTCTCTGAAGTAACCAGAAATATCTATGACCTGTTGCAAAAATGAAGGGGCACCCAGAACTCCTGTTATTCAGATCCATTCCTGTGTCACATTCTTGACTGCTTATGAACTTCAATACTTCACTCCTTTAGGCAAACATCAGAGTAATGTATCCTGATCTGAATACTTTCAGCTGTCTGAGCCAAAAGCCTTAACTTTCGAAGCGAAGACAGACAGACTACAATGCAGATGATAAACAGGACAAGAAGCTAACAGCCTCAGCAGCAAAGAAAAACTGTGGTCAGAGTATCATTGTTGCAAAGGATGCTGTCTTTCAGAAGCACCTTACCCTGTTGTCATAGACCTTCTTGAGTGCTTCATAGCGGATGGACCCCTGAAAAATCACCCCTTGAAAGGTGTTGCTTTTGTCACTGGCCACCAGCTCCACGCAGACCATTTCTCCTTCTCCCACAGTCATGTCACTGAAAACCTGCCAAAGATGCAAGAAGAAACACTTTAAGGCAAACTGCAGCTGTTAAAGTTCAAATACATTCAGATTCCCAGGATTTCCCTTAGGCCCAAGGCAGTTTCAACATAAATGACAGAAAGCAAAGGAGATGTATGCTCCACCCCAGCCTTTCAAAAAAAAAAAATCCACAAACTAGATTTCAGACAGTGCACACTGCAAATCATGTGCTGAGATCAGCAGCTCTCACATTAGCCTGTCTTGCTTCAGCTCATCATAAAGACAGATGCTAAAATCCAGCTTTAAGTTCAGATGTCAAACATTAAAGAAACAGGAAAGTTAAATAAAATAAAAACTACTAGAAAATAACCACAATTAGCCAAAAGCATTTGTTCAAAAGGTACAAGAAAACAGCTAATCAAGACAGAAGATAAAACTCTGCTGCTGCAACAAGGAACCCACCTCTTCAAAGCTGTCAATCATGAAGAATATGTTGGGGTAGCTGATCTTTGACTCCTCTCCTTTACTGTCCATTGGGTGTTTGCTAGGAGATGCAAACACTTGCTGAGAAAGATATTGGGGGAAAAAAGTACATCTCAGTTAACTGTACTCAGGCATGGACACACTGGACAGAAGGCAAGCAATACCAGAACACCACAGTCCCACACTGCTCAGTCAGCCAATGTTTTCACATACACTAGAGATGCTGGACATCCTGCAGGCAAAGCTGAACTGGTTTCTGACTACAGCCTGTTTTGCAGTAATGACAACACTTGTGAAATCCTTGAATTTTCACATGCAAGCTATCAAATACCAGTTGCTCCACAGTAAATGTCTCTGTGGGTACCGGACCTCTCACCATCCCATGGTACAGTTAAGGTATCTGTCTTTTCAATAACAGAGAAAACCACCTTAAAAGCTGTCTCTAAGTTACTGCAATGTGCTGCAAAGTAAAAGCACACACAACAAGAAAGTTACTGTGGAGTAGCTGACCTAACACTATTTGCTTGTACAATTAATTTCATTGCTATTGTTTGCTTAGTACCACAATGAGATCAACATCACTCAGTAATGGGAAGCATGGCCCTCAGCAGGACAAGCACTTGATTTCTCATCCTCATCTTCTGCTTCCGTTTCTTTCTCTATCCACTGTGCTTCCTCTTGCACATTCCTCCCTTTGAAGCAGTTCCCTAACTCCTTTGGACACTTCACTTCTCAAAACAACCTGTGTTTAAATAGCTAAAGACTTTAGATTTTATCATTCCAACAAGATTAACAAAAGCAGATAAAGAGGAAGAAGATTTCATACCAGGTAGCTTTCTTTGCTTCCACCTCTTTTTATAAAAAAAATTTTGAATTAAAGAACCTGTCAAATCTCAGTCCACTGTGAATGTGCCCAGACTGTCAGGCTTGTGATACTCTTGCTACAAACCACTCAACGCAAACTCATGAGAAATTGCTTTTCCTTATTTGTACTTACGAAGCCTGCATGCACATTTAAATACAGGTTATTAAAAGGAAAGGTTGCTTCATGACAAGAAACAACATTAGAAAGCAACAAGACTCCTCAGAGATGACACTTGCACCAATGCCTTAAACGACATGTTCCAGGCATCTTTGTTCTCATGCCATCCAATGTAAAGCAAACCCCCCCCCCAAACTCATCTCCAGACACACCTGAGGAAAACACAGCTTGTAGAGATCTTAATGTCAACCCAGCAGAGAATCAATGCAGTCTGCAAAATTATTTAGGGGAAGTCAGCCTTTTTTATACTGGTTTTGTGCCTTAGATACTCTACTGGTATGAACAAAACAGGTTTGTCATAGGTCTGGAGTAGCACACCAAGTCCTATGCCTGAATACGGCTTGCTGCCCTAGGGCTTCTCTACCTGTTCAACACCTAGGTGCACATTGACAGGATAATAAATGCTTTCTAAAGCAAGAACCATCAGAGCAGTAATACAGGTCCAAAAGAGTTGGGTTTTGCTCATTTAAAACTGAGCCTCAATGGTGTATGTTATAATAAAATGTTCTACAGAAAATATGCTTTCCACAGTATATAGAATTGCATTTTCTCTCTCCATAGATCAGCTTCATGATACTGACATGTTACTAATATGTACTGGTAAGTCTTAATGTGTTCTGAGTTTCTCCCAGAAAAGGGGAGAAAGAAAAATTCAGAAGCAGTCCCCCAGTCCAAGCCTCTGGGAATGAGGAACAGAAAAACTCCTGCTTATTATGAGCACTGCTCATATGCAATGACAGCAGGTCCCCCATCTTCCTAGTTTTCAAATCTGCAATTTAAAGATTCTCCTCAAAAAAAAAAAAAAAAAAAAAAAAAAAAAAAAAAAAAAAAATTTGCAGAAGTTAACTGGGGGTGTTTCCACCAGCAAACAGTAGAAAAAGCAATGAGAAATAAAAGGCCTACATCAGTGTTGCAATGTGGTGTCTCAACAGCACCAGGAGAATTATGCACCTAACTAATGCAAATTACACATACAACAATCAGTGTCGCTAGTTCTGTTTGTAGGCAAAGCAACAATTGCTTCAAAATAGTAAAACAAAATTAAAGGATTAAAGAGCATTGGTTTATTTTAGGTAAAGCCACACAAACAGCTGACTGGGCTAAAGGAATGGAAATATCTGTGAGAAACAGCCTTTTCAAGGCAGTGGGAGCCTTCAAAAAAAAAAAAAAAAAAAAAAAAAAAACCCAAACAAATTTCCGTCTGCCACCTAAAAGAAGTTATTGCAAGATCTGTTGGAAACTGATTGAAGAAGTCCAGTGTTTCTTGTTCCTATCCCCTCTGTGCTTATAATTCAGTCTCTTCCACTGTATTAAACCCTGGATTAACTGTATGCGGCACAGAAGCAAATGATGAAAGACTTTGGCGTGAAAATGGAAGGAATGAGCAGTTTAAGAGGGAAAACAAGAATCTCAAAGTAATAAAATATATATTGATAATCAGTAAATTGTCCACCATTCAAAAGCCCTACATTACAGATTTACCCTGAAGGATTCTCATAACTCTGGTCTCGTACAATTTCAGGTTTACCCTCAGACTGGTTAATAGTTGGGCATGCTCCCCTCTCCAGCATATACATCCTTCATCCTCCACCCCAAATCCTGTAGGCAGAGATCATAAATCTTGAAAGCATGCAGAGGTCTTTACAATGTTTTGAGAGGGGCTATAGAGGACATTTAGATCTCACATTTAGATGGCTGGCAGGAAATGTCACTAAACAAAGACTTGAGATGCTTCACAAGCAGAGTCCAACCTGAGAACCACAGCTCTGGTTTTGATGCAGTTTTTAGGATTACGTAATACTGCATGCCAATGTCTTATCCACAGTAATAATACAGTAATCTCACCTGAGATTTCTTCTTGTGAATATGAATATCTCCTCCATCAGAACGTGTGCACACAGCACATGTCACCACGTAATCCAGCTATAACAGAGCATCAGATAGAGAAATAAAGGTTTAGAGTTAGAAAAACAAAACATTCACGTCTATGAAGTAGAAGACATTCCCTCTTCACTTTTTTTTTCCCCAGCTGTCTGGCTAAAAACGAAGATGTTCTTATATTGCCATTTTCTTTATTCTCTTTACTATACTGAAGCTCCTACAATTTTCAAGCCTGTGCTCATTTATTAACTCAGTGACACTGAAATGTTTTGCACAGATGCTTGCTGAGGTGCACGACCTATGGCTGAAGAAACTTCTGTCGATACTGTTTAACACTAGATTACTGGTCAACTGGAGGAATGAGCATCACACACATAAGCACACTTTAAAGTAGAAATGGAAAAGAAGTCCTCCCTTCAAAAAGGGAAAAACAGAAAATCTAACGAACACAAGCAACACACTAGAGAGGTCAGAAACCATTAATGTGGCCTGCCAAGCCACCTGAAAACACTTGTAAGGAGCAAGTCCAATAGCTCTGGACAGCAATGCCCAGCTGTAGCAGCATGTCTGAATTCTGACTGTAGCAAATGGATTCTGGTTTTATTGAGCAAATAATGGTGGAAACTGCTCTGTGCAGAGAGGTTCTGCAATGAGACTTTTGGGAGGAAGTAGGGGGAATGAAAACAATTTATTTTCCAGGATGTGTGCAATGAGCCAGCAGTCTCTTCTGAGATAATCATCAACAGAACTTTTAAGGGATCTCAAATGATTGCAGCAACATTCAACTTCCCTAAGCACCAGTATAACATATGTAGTAACTAAAGAACCTATGAGTTAATTAAGGAAATAATTTGTGTTAGCTTCATATTTCCAACAACAGAAGTTCTATTAAAGTTCTAATAACGAGCAGCAAACTCCCAGTGTAATACATAGCACCTTTCCTGCGTTTCCACCTCGCAGTTCCCTCTCTTAAGCTGCACCAGTATTGGGAACTCTAACAGAAATGTTGCTTGTCTAACAGTCTTGTTCACTTTCAAAAGCTATCAAACTTGACAAGCCTTGCATTTCACAAAACTTTGTTACAGAGCATAAAATTCAGCCCAACTTCACTGAATATATTTAAAGGTTTTTGAGGAAAGTATTAGGCCTATACTGAAAAATAGCAAACATCTCAGCTTCTGTTCATTTAGACTCTGAAAGGCAAAATTAAAGCCATGTTTTCTTTACATGCTCCAGAAGTACTCAAATCCTCCAAGTTAGGGAGGAAAGGGGACAGATGAAAGCCCACCCTGAAACTTCTCCAGCATAAACAGCCTGTGTAAATTAGATAAACATCACCGTTACCTTCTGCAGGATAAGGTTCAAGTAGACACTCTCTTCCCAGTCAATGTCAGGGTCTCCCAGGCCAGGAAGCTTCTTAGAATCTCTCCGGTAAACTTCAACTTCAACCTGCTAAGAAAATATCACAACACTTTGAAAAATATTATTAGAGATACCTATATGCAAACACAAATTGACACCAGAATCTGTATTTTATGTAGCTTCCTGCTGTATTTTTTCTGTCAGAATCAGATTTTGCTGACCATGCAAGGTCAGCCCTTGTGGAAAGCTTTGTGTGGAAGCAAAGCTGGGGGGACAGGGGATGTGAAGGAGAACAGGCAAGAAAGGCAGGTCTGTGCAGGGGAATCTCAGTTATGGACAGCAGCTTTATTTATTCCTTATTACAAGTATGTTTTTGCAAAAGTTAAATCAATAAAATCAGGGATACACACACACATACATGTTTCTCTTACCACAATCCCTTGGAAACGAACATGTCACTAGACTAATGCTCAACATCATCTAGCAGGTAGCTGTTGCTTGTTCCCCATTGGGATGGGAATTGCTGGGAAGACAAAGTCCACTAATTAATGCCTCGCAGAGGACATTCTGGCAGCCCTTCTGTTTTGGGTTTATGTGCAAGGTTTTGGTAGCAGGGGGGATCCAGAGCTGGCTTCTGTGAGAAGCTGCTAGAAGCTTCCCCTATGTCTGATAGAACCAATGCCAGTCAGCTCCAAGATGGAGCCACTGTTGGCCAAGGATGAGCCCATCAGCGATGATGGTAGTGTCTCTGGGATAATGTGTTTAAGAAGAGGGAAAACTGTACCACTGCAGCAAGAGGTAGGGGTGAGAATGTGTGAGAGGAACAGCTCTGCAGACACCGAGGCCAGTGAAGAAGGAGGAGGAAGTACTCCAGGCACAAAAGCAGATTCTCCTGCAGCCCGTGGTAAGGTAGCACACTTAACAGATGTCAAAGCTATGCACTAGCTTGACAAAATACATGGAAAAGCATTTTTTCTCTGTGTTTGTGGATACTGTGACCAGTTGACAAAGCTGTAAACAGGGCAATTCATGAAACTCTTCTGGCTTTGGTCAGGGCAGAGAATGAAGGGTAGTGCTCATTTGTTAGAAAACAGATTGTCACAGAAGTCAGAATATGTGATTGAAACCAAACAGGGTAAGATTAAGCCCTATAGTAAGTGTGCATTTATTTCAACTCCTCTAGGAAGAATAAAGTTACAAGGCCAAAATAGAGGGAAGAACAGTTAACCACGATTTCAAGATTTACACTACCATCAGATACCATGATAGACAAACAGTTTTCTATAATTCATTTTTTTAAACTTACAAATATCTGTTAAAAATTCCTCACAGACTCATACATCATCATTCCTTTGGTTTGTTTTTATTTGTTGTTAAAGCTCCTAACCATTAATTTTTCTGTTGGCAATAAAATCGCACCAAACTAATGAGAGTTACTGCAAAAAGCTAACATGTGAGCAGCTGACGGAAAGAATCCAATCTAAATTCATCACCAAATAAAGGTGATATTTGCACTTCCATGCCTAAAAGCATAGAAACATCACATTTGCAAGACTCCAGAAACACCCTGTGAAACAAGAGCCTTCCCTGTGTCTGAAGACACAGCAGGAGGACCAGGTGAAGGCAGAATTGAGTAATTGCAGGGTAAAACTCCAGCTCTAAGGGCAAGATAAACAAGACGAAATGCTAAGCAGACACCACCTCCATATCCATGGAACCTTTATTTTAACACAGGCAGTTTAATTGTCTCTTAATGATAAAGTTAAATTTTTTGCAGTAATCAGCCGCTATTTTTTTCTGCTGGTGAAATTAATTCACACACTGAACTACTTCTCCCCAGCAATTAAAACCCATTGCACGCCAACTCTTTCACGGAATACCCCACAACCCTGTCACAAGTCACAACAAAAAGGGCCTTTCTTCAGTCACTTTTGCCATATGCACTAATTTACAGCAGGATTCCTGAGTGGTACAACCTGTGAGTTAGGGCACAGTGGATCACTGTGAATCACTGCCACAGCTATTCTCCAAACCAAGTGCTTAAGCCACACTGTATTCCGAAGGAAAATAATTTAGGCAATTTAAGGAATTCTTTTTGGTTTTTTTTGCTGGGCAATAAACTGCACAGGGTATAGATCTCTATTCAACATGTTAAATCGGGCAAGACCTCTTCCCAGAAAAAAAGGAGCCATCAGCAGGCAGATACAAGAAAGGAAGCGCTCATCAGACCTCAGAAAGACAGAAGATGGACTTCAAATGCTCTCCATGGCACTGGCATCTGCTGGATGTGTTTTGCAGCTCCTGCTCATGCCCAGGTAAGCATCTTTGGTGGGCATCAGAGGAATGAACCAGCCTTACCCAGAACTATGGTAGCAGTTACACAAAGAAGCCAGCATTTGCTACAGCAAACATGCCTTACTTTCTATATCATCGAAGGATCTGCTTTATAAAACACAATGAGCCCTCACCAGGGTGCTCTAACAAGCAGCACCACTGGTCCCCATCTGACTGGTAACATGCTTCACAGTGCAGGCACCCAAATTACAAGTCACTTTTGAAAAAAAATCTCATCCCTTATCTCATAAACACCTTTATCTGCAACATCTCTGTCACTCATTTCTAAACAGCTCTCCCAGAAATAGCGAAGGTGTCCATAAGGCATCTCAGCACTTTCCAGGGGCTCAATTTCCCATACAGGTGCTCTAGGTCACAAATTAGTCTCAGCTGCCCTCTACTGCCTTGGTGCTGGACACGTGAAGGTGGCCATGCAATATTAAGTGAAATTAATCACTAGGCTCAGTTCAACTCATCGCAGACAATCTTGCTGTCAACTGGCACACTGTGGAATCTCACGCAGGGCCAAGGACACAGGGAAGACCAGGGCTGACTCCATTCAGACCCTGCAGCATTAGCCAGTAAAGGAGGCATTCAAATCAATAATTAAAAAAAAAATAAAGTTTAAAAACCTCATACAAAGAACTTTAAACACCAATTTTCACCATTCCATACATCTTAATCACTATTGTTTAAAACCAGCAATCTGAATTTCTTGGTAAGCTGACCTAATTCGTCTGTGTTCCAAGAAAGCTTGCTCAGCACCACTACACTTATCTTCCTGGTACTATGTACAAATAGCATATATGCCAAGAAAAGATAAACCAAAACCTGAAACCTCAGAAAGCCCCATTACTTGTGCTCCTTATGTGCAAAAGACGTAAGATCACATAAATACTGTAGAAAGAGTTGACTTAGCTATCATCAAGGGATTTTCTTCATTTAAGTCCCAATCCAAAAAACAAGGGGTAAATACTATCCTTTTATATCCACTTTTATATTCAAGTGAATAAATTCAAGTGAGTATAGGCACTTGGGATTGACAGAATGGGAAACAAAAGACCGGAGTGTTCACTGTTCTGACCTTTAAGTGCTCAGACATCAGCAAATAGGAGTGCTGTCAAAATCACAATCAGGTCCCAGTAACGGAAACCATTATGTGAGTTTAGGTAAGTCAGTGTTGCCAGTGCTGAGCACAGCACTTCCTAAACGAAGAGAAACACCTGCCTCACAGAAGCATTGTCTGATATTCACGTAGAAATCACAATGGTAAATGTAGGCCTTCTTTTTTTGTTTAATGTATATAAAATATATATTCAAAATATCAGTCAATAAATAAGTAAGAATTTCTTAGTATACCTCATACTTCTCATCAAAAAAGGTTTTTTGATATTCTAGAATACATATTCAAAATATCAGCCAATAAATAAATAAGAATTTCTTAGTATACCTCATACTTCTCATCAAAAAAGGTTTTTTGATATTCTAGGCTTAATTCACATTGTCATGTTTGGCCTTCTGGAGTTAAGAAATGATATGGCTTGGAGAACATGCTGGATTTCGGACAGCTGAGTCCTCCCACGAAAACAAGCCTGTCTCAGCCAGGGATCCAGGAGACACTGGGTCTTTTTCCAGGTCTGCTGCTGATTCACTTGGCTGTGCCTCTATGCGTGTTTATCTGGCTTTAGACTACACGTGCCTTCCTGCAAGCGTGAAAGTTTATTAATAGAAAAAACTATGTAAATACTAATTATTTATTTCCAGTGAAATCCAAAAGCCAAACTGGATATTTCCGCATTCGAGTCAAGGCGATGACCCTTCTACAGTTTCAGCAAGCTGAAATCCATGATGCCACCTTTATAAAATTTTCACAGGGCTATTGAGCTGAGGCTGTAAAGGAGAATTACATCAGCTAGGCTGACCTCCTACGTGCCACAGGCATTTTACCCTGTTACTTCTTCACAAAACCCAGTTAATCACATTTGACTAGACAGTGCCTGGGAAAATACCTTACTTTGAGATCTCATTCCAATGATTAATCATCCTCTTGGCTGAAAGTGTGCAACTCCATTTAATTCATCTGCCTTCCTTTTGCCAGCCTCTGGTTCTCATCATGCCTATTTTCACTATATTAAGCAGCTCTTTAATACTCAGGTGGGATTTGGTGGGTTTTTTCTTCTTTTCTTTTTTTTTGATCATTTATAATCTGCCAGATAAGCCAGACAAAATTTCTTTAGGAGGTCTCCATGCCTCTCAGCAGGGCACCTCTGCAGAACTTGTGCTCCTTTTCCACCAGTACTGGAGTTTTCTGGTACTGGCTCAGTGCTGGTGAACGCAACCTTACTGTTCCCTGAGGATTGCACTTTTTCTGATCAGCAACACTACTACATACTAAATAACTTGCACTCTGTGCCTTGCCTGTCCCTTCCAGAGCCTGTGTGCACCCCTGGCACTGAAGTATTGAACTATATTAATAAATGGTTCCACATCTCCTAAGGACCAGGCTGTGCAGTCTGATGGTCATGCTCTCATCATTTATACAGCACCAGTGTGTGCCACTCACAAATCTGAACCCATTGCAATTTTATAATCCTGGTCACCAATCCCTGCAGAGTCCCCTCACGAGCACTACCTGAGGTTGTTCCCCCCTTCACCCATCCCATTTTACCACTTCTGCTAGCCAGGACCCCCACCATCATCCTGTCTTTCCTCAGCCCATTTCTTTTCCCTGCTTGGCAAACATTCTGGCTACCTTC